CCCCCCCCCTCCCGGCTCTGCGGATCCGCTAATGTGGGCAGGTCAGGGAGTTTTGCTGAAATGCTGAATTTTATTGGCGACAATTGGCTTTCTGCAGTATACTGTGTGGGTCGTGCGACGGTCTAATGTCGATCATCGATTTGGAGAAGCCAGTGTCAACCGATAGTTCTGTAGCAGTGGAACATCCAATCCTCCCGCTTTATGTCGAACAGTCTGTTTTCATTAAATAGTTTATATAGGGCCGAGTTTTTGGCGTTTCCACTCTTTTACGCTGCTCTTTTCTGCATTTTCAGAATTCCAGTTGTGGTGCTGTTAGCTTGACTCAGTAATTCTTGTATATGGTGGAGGCCACTCGGATGTGCTAGGTGTAAGAGGCGAGTACTCGCCCCCCCCCCTCCTCCACTCCCCACTATTTTACCAAAAAGCGTCATTTTCTCGTTTAATCCTCAAAATAGCATGAAAGATTGGATTGTAACAAGACCTCGTTAGAGTTTGACCTAGCCTGATTTTTGATTTATAGTTGGTATTAAATTTAAAAAGCTCAAAACTCCTGTATTTGCTCTTTGTGCACTAGTAGAATAGAAGGATTGGTCTTAAATGTCATGTGCCCGGAGGAGATTTTACGATATGGTTAGTCTGTGTTTCACCCCTTAGATATAGGAAATGTAGACCGAGCAATGCATGCGGTTAGGAGCGCGAATCATCAGTTCAGCCTCCTGCCCGCCATGTTCTGAACAGTCATGGAGCTAATTTGCAAGACAGATATGTGAAAGAAAGATGAAGGTACTCATAAAGCAGACCGACTTCTATGGGTTGTATAATGAATGTAATAATTCTAATGTAAACAAGACTTTGTGTGATAATGAGTGGATGGACGACACTGAACGACACTGAGAATGTAAGAAGTGGAAAGTTTTGAAATAGTTTCTCGCCCAGTACAGTCCCTTTGGCGATGAAGAATTCACAAATATATAGAAGCTGCAGAGGATGAAACGAGAAATTACTTTGAAATTCATGGAGCGGCCGGGGAGGGTATTTTGGGCACATCTGGGGTTCGTCGCATTCGCTTGAATTAAAACAAAATCTGTCGATAATTCATCCTCTGCAAGAGCAGGAGACGCCCAAAAATAGCCCGTCAAGAGACAAAAGCAGCAGTCACATGCCAAGCAGTGTGGTTCACCGTTCCATGGGTTGCTCAAACGCAAGTTGACTACGGCTCCTAGCATATTTTCCAGCACCAATTTGCCATCACAGCGAGTGCGGCATTTTACGTTCTTCAGGTCCCATAAAGCATGGCCAAGTTGCTGTCAGTGGTATCCACAGGACACGAGCACATTTGTAAGCGCTGGTCAGGATAAAACCGTAAAGGTTTGGGTTTTAACTGTTAAAGTCAAAATTCTCACAATACGTATTCACTTTCTACGAGAGACGAAGACATTCGGGAGAGGTAGCAAAATACCACCAGCAGCAGTTACAGGTTTACAGAATTGTCAGTGGTCCCCTCTTTGGTGAGTTGCTCAAAAGCAAGATGATGACGAGTTTGACTTCCTGGCATATGCCAATATCGAAATGAACGGAGAGTTTGGTGAAATAAGTTTTTGCTTTGAATTCTTTTGCTTCATCTGCAAGCACTGCAGGGCTTTGTGAGAGAAAGACAAAATTGTTTAATCAAGCTTCCTCAAATTACATCAACCAAAATTTCCCTTATTTTTTTGACAGGGCGAGGTTAGTTCAGTGGATCGAAGGGGCTGTTACTTTACTTTCGGCATTCTGAATAAGTTCCAGTTTTATTGCTTCTGGATCAAACGCACGGATGTTTAATATGCAAAGCTTTCACTTCCACTCTTTACATTACTCTTCAACATGTCATACTGTTTGTACCACATTAACAACCCTACTGTTTTTTCCATCATAGTTCATTAACTAATTCCATGCAACATTAAAATTTAAAGATTTCGACCGTTGAATACTTTCCACGATTCCGACTGACTGTTACTTCAGAAATTATGGTTCGACCCACTAGGGGTCGCAAAAAAAAAATTTCCATCAACTTAGCCCACTTGCGGAGGCATCCCACTTGGACCGTCCATTTTTGATTTGATCTTCCAATGGCCGTTACTTATCATTCCTCTGAATGCCCAAGTACATGCAATATCAGTTGTTCCTCATACGTTTGTTGCTCAACCATCTGAGAAAGCCTTGCCCAATAGTCGGTGGACATCACGCTTAACCAGTGGCTTCCTGGAGCGAGTAAACTCTTGTGGACCAGGAGTGGTATCGCACCCATATCGAACAGATCATTCAAGCAAATCTTGATGAAATCAAACTTAGCAGAAATGTTATTAAGATTACGATAGCCAAGGTTACAGAGTGATGATTTTTTTCCGCCCAACTTTCACCTCTCAGTTAATTTTGTGTAAGTTTTTTGTGGTCCAGGATAAAATATCATGTGCTTGTTGAAATCATCTCAAAATGTACACAAATGCAGTGTAATTTTCTGAGTATTGCGATTATTTATTTAGATATGGGATTCAAATGAGGTGCAAGTGGTGGATGAGTACCTGTTCGATGATGAGATACGGGATTTGCACTGGAGTAATGCTGTTACTCGAAATCCACTGATTGCCATAGCAAATCGTACCTCACATATTTCACTCATTGATCCCAGGTGAGGGTTGCTTGTCTTTGCTAGCGGTGCGTTTCTCTTCGTTAGTTTTCCCACCAAAATGAGTAATTTTTATGACCGGATCTATGAAATATGAATAATTCCTGGGCAGAGCTTAATGCTTATTATAGATCCCACTGGTTAAAAGCGTATCTATCATAATTCACAATGTGTATTACACTTTAGCGTTGCCTATTGCTTATTGAAATTTGGAACTAAGCTGCTAAATTAGTGTTTTTATAACCAGTGATAGGATGAAAGATCAAATCAGCAATTCGGAGTTTTGCAGTTCATGATCAGTTTGAGAGGGGTGTGCGAAAGTACAAACATACTGCCGCGAACGGAGCCCTTTCTCGAAAATTGTTCTGAACCGTGAAAGACTGCACCACCAGTGCTTTTGCTTCGGGTTCAGCCTGTTAGTATATCTACTGTGTATCTGCATTTTAAATCAAAATACATTTCTTTTTTTATGGTGGCTTTTTGGCCGGCTTTTTGCGAGTTTTCCGTCGCACACACACACACACACACACA